AGAGGCAGGCGATGGGGGGACTGTCTGGGTGACATTCCACGGCCAGGCAGACAGCTGACACCGGGCAGTGGGGTCACTGGGGCATCTCACCGACCCCCTAGTCACCTGTGGAAGCGCCGCTGGGAGCTGCTGGGTCATGGGAGCCCCCTGCACCCCAATAACCATCCTTCTCCTGCTGCCCATGCTGCAGGGTAAGTGTTGGCTGGGAGCCAGGACACCTGGGTCCTATGGGAGGGGAGTGGGGGCTAGTGTGTTGGAGCAGGGTGGGCAAGAAGTTAAAATTCCTGGGTTCACTTGAAAGGAGAGTGGGGTCTATTAGGCTAAAGTGGGGGGGAGGGGCTGGGAGCCAGGACTCCTGGGTCCTATGAGAGGAAAGGGGGGGACTAGTGGGTTAGAGCAGGGGGTACTGGGATCCAGGACTCCTGGGTTCAATTCGCATTCTCAGCCACAGACACCCTCTCTCATCCCCACCCTCTGAGCCAGCACCAAAAACGTACTGTAGGGCTCCTGAAATGCTCTAAATATTGTAATAACCCAGGGATGAGGCTTCAGCAGGGAAGCGGTTAACAAGATATGAAGTGCAGCTGTGTCCCGTGGGCGGGGCAGGGTGAGAAAGACTCAGCTGTTGTCTCAGAGTCAAGAAGGAATCCAGGAGTCCTGGCTCCCAGCCCCCACTGCTCTAACCACTAAACTATCCTCCGCTCCCCTCCCCTAGCTGGGTAGAGAGACCAGGTGTCCTGAGAACTGTGTGTTATTTTGCACTGTTTACTTTTAGTGAGCGTTTCTTTCTGTCTTTCTTTTGCTGTCTTCCTGATTCCTGTTCATTTCTGAAACCGGTTCCGCCGCTTTGCGCCATCTGTGACTCCTTCTCCTGTCTCCCTCAGCTGCACGGGACAATGGAATCCAGACAGGTAAGTAACCGATCACTGAAATCATGTCACCTATCGCTGCAATCAGGAGGGTAGCTAATGTGATACCGACTTTTTTAAAAAGGCTCCAGAGGCGATCCCGGCAATTACAGGCTGATGAGCCTAACTTCTGTACTGAGCAAAGTGCTTGAAACTATAGTAAAGAACAGAATTGTCAGACACATAGATGAACACGATTTGTTGGGGAAGAGTCAACATGGTTTTTGTAAAGGGAAATCATGCCTCACCAATCTACTAGGATTCTCTGAGTGTGTCAACATCCATGTGGACAAGGGGGATCCAGTGGACACAGTGTACTTGGACTTTCAGAAAGCCTTTGACAGGGTCCCTCACCAAAGGCTCTGAAGCAAAGTAAGCAGCTGTGGGATAAGAGGGAAGATCCCTTCATGGGTCAGTATCTGGTTAAAAGTCAGGAAACAAAGGGTAGGAATAAATGGTCAGTTTTCACAATGGAGAGAGGTAAATAGTGATGTCCCCCAGGGGTCTGTACTGGGATTACTGCAGTTCAACATATTCATAAATCATCAGGGAAAAGGGGGTTGGCAAAGTTGGCAGATGTTACAAAATACCTTGTTAGTGAAGTCCAAAGCAGACAGCGAAGAGCTACAAAAGGATCTCACAAAACTGGGTGACTGGGCAATAAAATGGCAGATGAAATTCAATGTTGATAAATGCAAAGTAATGCACATTGGAAAACATAATCCCAACTATACATATAAAATGATGGGGTCTGAATTAGCTGTGACCACTCAAGAAAGAGATTTTGGAGTCATTGTGGATAGTTCTCTGAAAACATCCACTCAGTGTGCAGCGGCAGTCAAAAAAGCCAACAGCATGTTGGGTATCATTAAGAAAGGGATAGATAATAAGACAGAAAATATCATATTGCCTCTATATAAATCCATGGTACACGCACACCTTGAATACTGTGTGCAGATGTGGTCGCCCCATCTCAAAAAAGATATTACAGAATTGGAAATAGTACAAAGAAGGGCCACAAAAATGATTAGGTGTTTGGAGTAGAGATTAATAAGAGACCGGGACGTTTCAGCTTGGAAAAGAGACGACTAAGGGGGATATGACAGAGGTCTATAAAGTCATGACTGGTGTGGAGAAAGTGAATAAGGAAGTGTTATTTACTCCTTCTCACAATAGAAGAACCAGGGGTCACCTGATGAAATCAACAGGCAGCAGGTTTAAAACAAACAAAAGGAAATATTTTTTCACACAACGCACTGTCAACCTTTGGAACTCCTTGCCAGGGGATGTTGTAAAGGCCAAAATTATAACTGGGCTAAAAAAAGAGTTAGGTAAGTTCATAGAGGGTAGGTCCATCTGTGGTTATTAGCCATGATGGGCAGGGACACAACCCCATGCTCTGGATGTCCCTAAACCTCCAATTGCTAGAAGCTGGGAATGGGTGACGGGATGGATCACTGGATGATTCCCTGTTCTGTTCATTCCCTCTGGGGCACCTGGCACTGGCCACTGTCAGCAGACAGGACACTGGGCTAGATGGACCTTTGATCTGACCCAGTATGGCCGTTCTTATGTTCTTACATATGAATCACAACGCCGCTGGGTGGTGCTAGGGGGCGCTGTGCTGCAGGGAGAGGAGGCGCCCTCCCCAGACAATGAGTGCTGGCTCCAATGCCCCAGGGTGGCACTAGGGGGTGCTGTGTGGCACCAAGCACCCCACAGGAGGCTGCATTGCACCTCAGTGCAGCTCCAGTCCCCTCCAGCAGGGAGCGCCACGTGTCCTCCGTTCTGTCATGGTTCTCTCCCTCCGCCCGCAGTGTGTGGCCAGGGGGGGCCCCAGGACCGGATCGTGGCGGGGGAGGACGCCCCGCGGGGGGCCTGGCCCTGGCAGGTCAGTCTGCAGTATGAGAACCGCCACGTCTGTGGGGCGACCCTCATCGACTCGGAGTGGGTGCTCAGCGCTGCACACTGCTTTCCCAAGTGAGTGACCGGGGCTGGGCCAGCAGGGGGCTGCGGGTCGGGAGTGAGGGGCACCGCTGTTGGTCTCCGGGCGCTGACCCCTCTCTCGCCCCAGGCACGCGGAGCTGTCTCGGTACCGAGCTGTCCTGGGCTCCCACCAGCTGTCAATCCCAGAGCCCGGCTCCCTGCGGCTGCCCCTGTCCCGCGCCGTGGGCCACGCACTCTACTCTGGGGAGGGCTCCAGCGGAGACATCGCCCTGGCCCAGCTGGGCCGCCCCGTCACCTTCACCCCGCAGGTGCTGCCCGCCTGCCTCCCGGACGCCGGGGTCCACTTCCCCGCCGGGACCCTCTGTTGGGTTACTGGCTGGGGGTCGCCACAAGAGGGAGGTGAGGAGGGGGGAGGGGGCAGCTGAGGGGGCGGGGAATGGAGGGGGCAGGAGGAAGAACAGAGAGGGGAGAGGTGGGGGAGTGGAGGTGGGAGGGGCCATGAGGAAAGGGGGAGGGGAGGGGAACGCAGAGGAGGAGGGGCAAGGAGGGGGGAGCAGAGGGGAGCATTGGAGGGGGCAGGGAGGGGGGCATTGTGTTCTCCTCCTCCCCCAGGGTCCCCTCCCCCACCCAGGCAGTGTTAACCCTTCCTTCCCCCCCCAGCCCTGCTCCCAGCCCCCATGACGCTGCAGCAGCTGCAGGTGCCCCTGATCGACCCACTGCCCTGTGATGCCCTTTATCGGCGCCGGAGCTCCATGAGGGAGATCCAGGACGACATGGTGTGCGCTGGCTACGCCGAGGGACAGAGAGACGCCTGCCAGGTGAGAGCAGGGGGCTGCGGGTCGGGAGTGAGGGGCACCGGCAGAGCTGGGGGGGG